AGTGGCTGCGTCAGTTTGCATTCCTACCAGCAGTGCACAAGGGTTCCTTTTTCTCCATATCTTCACCAACACCTGTTGTTTCTTGTGTTTTTTATTTTGTTTTTTTTATTTATGAAAGACACACAAAGAGAGGAAGAGACATAGGCAGAGGGAGAAGCAGGCTCCCTGTGGGGAGCCGGATGTGGGACTAGATCCTCGGACTCTAGGATTACACCTTGAGCCAAAGGCAGACACTCAGCCACTGAGCCACCCAGGCGTCCCCCCCCCCCCCCGCCTTTTTTTAATTAGCCATTTAGACAGGTGTGAGGGGATATCTTACTCTAGCTTTGATTTGCATTTCACTGATTATCATTGATGTTGAACATCTTTCATATGTCTGTTGGCCATCTGTATGTCTTCTTTGGAGAAATATTTTCATGTATTCTGTCAATTTTTTTAATTGGGTAATTTATTTTTTTGGTTGTTGAGTTTTATATATTTTGCATACTAACCCTTTACCAGATATGTCATTTACAAATATCTTCTCCCATTCAGTGGTTTCCTTTTAGTTTGTTGATTCTTTCCTTTGCTGTGCAGAGCTTTTTTTTTTTTTTTTTGATGTAGTCACAATAGTTTATTTTTTGCTTTTCTTTCTCTTTCCTCAGAAGAAATATGTAGAAAAACGTTGCCACAGCCAAATAAAAGAAATTACTGCCTTTGTTTTTCATGCACTTATAAATGGGATTGTTTCTCTTTCTGCTGCTTCTTATTGGTGTATAGAAATGCAACAGATTTCTGTGCGTTGATTTTATCATCCATTTTTATTTTTTCCTGAGACTTTACTGACTTGCTATAGCTAAAACTTGCAATACTGTGTTGAATAAAAGTGGTAAGAGTGGACATCCTTGTATTGTTCCTTATGTTGGGAGAAAAGCTCTCAGTTTTCCCCATTGAGGATGATGTTTGCTGTAGGTTTTTCATATGTGGCCTTTATTATGTTGAGGTGTGTTCCCTCTAAATCTACTTTTTAGAGATTTTTATCATGAATGGATGTTGTACTTTGTCAAATGCTTTTTCTACATCTATTGAAACGATCATATGGTTTTAATCCTTTCTCCCTTGCATCCCAAAGATAATCCCACTTGGATTGTGGTGAAGGATTTTTTTTTAAATGTACTGTTGAATTTAGTTTCCTAGTATTTAATTGACAATTTTTGCATCTATGTTCATCAGGAATATTGGCCTATAGTTCCCCTTTTTAGTGGTGTCTGTGTGATTTTGGTATCAGGATAATGCTGTCCTTATAGGATGAATTTGGAAGTGTTCCTTTCTTTTCTATTTTTTGGAATAGTTTAAGAAGAATAGGTATTAACTCTTCTTTAAATGTTTGGTAGAACATTGTTGAAGCCATCTGATCGTGGACCTTTGTTGGAAGTTTTTAAATTACTGATTTAATTTCTTTACTGGTTATTGGTCTATTCAAATTTTCTATTTCTTGTTTAAGTTTAGGTAGTTTATATGTTTCTGAGATTTTATCTATATCTTCTAGGTTGTCCAGTTGGTTGGTATGTAGATTTTCATAATAATCTCTTATAATCTGTTGTATTTTCTGTGTTGTTGGTTGTTATTTCTCCTCTCTCATTTGTGACATTGAGTCCTTTCTCTTTTCTTTTTGATAAGTCTGGCTAGAGGTTTATCAATTTTCCTAATATTTTAAAGAACCAGCTCCTGGTTTCATTGATCTGCTCTATTTTTCTTTTTTAGTTCTATATCATTTTTCTTTCTGCTGTTTATTATTTCCTTCCTTTTGATGATTTTATGTTTTATTGTTCTTTTACTACCTTGTAAGTTTAGATTGTTTGATTTTTTTTTTCTTGCTTCTTGAGGAAAGTCCTGCATTGCTCTAAACTTGCCTCTTAGAACTATTTTTGTTGCATCTCAAAGGTTTTTGGGCCATTACGTTTTCATTTTCATTTGTTTCCATGTACTTTTTTATGTCTTCTTTTATTTCCTGGTTGACATATATTCACTGTTTAGTGACGTATTATGTAACCTTCAGGTATTTGTGGTTTTTTTTCAGGTTTTTTTCTTGTGGGTGGCTTTTAGATTCATAGCTTTGTGGTCAGAAAAGATACATGGTATGACTTCGATATTCTTGATTTTATTCAGGCTGGTTTTGTTGGCTAATATGTGACCTATTCTGGAGAATGTTCATGCACATTTCAAAAGAATTTATATTCTGCTGTTTTAGGGTGGAAAGTTCTGAATATATCTGTTAAATCTGTCTGTCCAGTATGTCTCTCAAAGCCATTGTTTTCTTGTTGATTTTCTGTTTAGTTGATCTGTCTATTGCTGTAAGTGGGGTGTTATTGTACCCTACTATTATTGTATTATTATCAATAGTTCCTTTATATTTGTTATTAACTGTTTTATGTATTCGGGTATTCCTCATGTTGGGTTCATAGACATTTACAGTTGTTATATCTTCTTATTGAATTGCCCCCTCTATTATTATAGAGTATCCTTCTTTGTCTCTTGGTACAGTCTTTGTGTTAAAGTCTATTTTGGTGAAATAAGTATTGCTACTCAGCTTTGTTTTGACACCATTTACATGATAGTTATTTCCCCATCCTCTCACCTTTTTTAAAGATTTTATTCATTCATTCATTCATTCATTCATTCATTCGAGACACAGAGAGGCAGAGATATAGGCAGAGAGAGGAGCAGGCCCCTTGCAGGGATCCTGATGTGGGATCCCGGGATCATGCCCTGAGCTGAAGGTAGACATGCCATGGCTTAGCCACCCAGGGCTTCCTCCATCCCCTCACTTTGAATCTGCAGATGTCTTTGGGTCTAAAATGAATCTCATGTAGATAGCATGTAGATGGGTCTTATTTTTTTTTCATTCTTTACCCCATGTCTTTTGATTGGAGCATTTAGTCCATTTACATTCAAAGTAAGTATTGATATTTATTTCTTGCTATTTTATTACTTGTGGGTTTTTTTGAAGATTTCCTCGGTAACTTTCTTGTCTTTTTCTCTTTCATGTTTGTTGTTTTTTCTTTATTGAAATATTTGGATTTCTTTTTCTTTATTCTTTGCTTGTTTATTAGTGATTTTTGATATATCGTTACCATTAGGGTTGTATAATACCTCCTCTGTGTATAGCAGTCTGTATCAAGTTGATGATTGCTTAAAATTTGAAACCATTCTTTACTATCCTCCCCATGTTTTAGGTATGTGGTGTCATATTTTATATCCTTTTCTTTATGAGCTCCTTGACTGATTTTTTTACAGAAACTTTTTATTTTCACTGCTTTGTGTTTCCTCCTTTATACTGTCACTTTGGTCTCTCTTTCCTATGAAAAGAGTCCCCTTTAATGTGTCTTGCAGGGTGGGTTTACTGGTCACAAACCCCTTTGTTTGTCAAACTCTGTGTCTCCTTCTATTCAGAATGAAGCCTTGCTGGATAGAGTATTCTTGGCTACAGATTTTTATGATTTAGCATTTTGAATATATCATGCCACTCTCTTCTGGCTTGCAACTTTTCTGTTGAAAGATCTCCTGCTGGCCTTATGTTTTCTCTTGTAAGTTAATCACTTCTTTTGTCTTGTTGCTCTTAAGATTTTATCTGTATCACTATATTTTGCAAGTTTAATTACATTATGTCTTGGTGTGGGTCTGCTTTTACTGATTTTGATGGGAATTCTCTGTGGCTTCTGGATCTGGATATCTGTTTACTTTCCCAGATTAGGGATGTTTTCATCTATTATTTCTTCACAGAAACTCTCTGCCGCTTTTTCTCTCTTTGCTTCTGAGACTCCTAAAATACAAATTTATTAATTATATTTGATGAAGTAACTGAGTTTCCTAAATCTATTTTCATTTTGTTTATTTTTTTTCTCTCTTTTGTTAAGCTTGATTACTTTCCAGTACTCTGTGTTGTAGGCCACTAATTCATTCCTCTGCTGCTTTCATCCTACTATTCATTTCCTCAAGCATTTTTTTCATTTCATTTGTTGAGCCCTTTATCTTTGCTACTTTATTCCTTATCTCTGTGTTGAGAGTCTCATTCATGTCTTCCACTCTTTTCTCAAGTCCAGTATCCTTATGATCATTGCCGCCCCCACCCCCACCCCGAGCTGGTCTACTTGTGTCCCACTAACACCAGAGTGAGCAAAGACAGCCCACAACAGGCAAGAGAGTCAGTGCAGAAAGGAAAAGTAACTCAGACACAATAGTAGGGCATAAGCACCATACATAAGATACTCTCCTGAATTGCCAGGTGAACAGGAGACATTGCACTGCAGGTCATTCCAAGAGCTCCTCTTCATAAGGTCATTACTTTCAAGAGCAGAAAACATAGCTGACTTTCTTAACACAGAGAAACAGACACAGGAGAGGGAGACAAAATGAGGAGAGAGAGAAGTTTATCCCAAATGAAAGAACAGGACAAAACCCTAGCTAGAGATTTAAGCAAACAGATATAAATAACATGCCTGATAGATAAGATGCCTTAAGATAGATCTTAAGGCAAGGATTTTAAGGAATGTGGGACTGGGGTGTGCCTAACACCGTTTATGGAAGAGACTGTCCCATCTTCTTTGTCAACTATTAGTTGATCATATATGCATGGGTTTTTTTCTGGGTTCTCTGTTCTGTTCTGTTGATTTTTGTATCTGCTTTTATGCCAGTACCACACATTCTTGATTGTTATAGCTTTGTAATATAGTTTGAAATAATGAAGTGTGATGCCTCCAACTTTATTCTTTTCTTCTCATAATTCCTTGGGCTCTGCAGAATTTTTTGTGGACCCATAAGAATTTAGGATTTTTTTTTTCTGTTTCTATGGGAAATGCCATTGGATTTTGATAGAGTTTGATTGGACACATTAACAAAATTTACTCTGCTGATCCATGAGCACTGGATATCTTTCCGTATCCATATTCATCAATTTCTTTCATCAGTGTCTTATAGTTTTTAATGTATAAATCTTTATTATTTTGGTTAAATTTATTCCCAAGTATTTTATTCTTTTCATGCTGTTGTGTTTGTGTCAGCCTTGCACAGGGGCCATGGTAATCTCCTCTGTATTGTTCCAATTTTAGTATATGTGCTGTGGAAGCAAGCACTCTACATGGGATTGTTCTGTTTGATAGAAGTATAGCTACCTCTAATCTCTTTACATTTGCATGGAATATATTTTTCTGTCCCTTCACTTTGAGCCTTTATGTGTCTGTAGAACTGAAGTGAGTCTTTAGTAGTATGTGATTGGGTCTTTTTAGAAAAATACATTTAGCCACTCTATGCCATTTGTTTGGAGAACTTAATCCATTTATATTTAAAATGATTATTGGTAGGTAGGGACTTACTAATACCATCTTGTTGATTGTTTGCTGTCTATTTTAACCTTCTTTTGTTCATTTTTTCCTTTCTTGCTGTCTTTCCTTATGAATTGATGATTTTCCATAGTGGTATATTCTGATTCCCTTCTCTTTCTCTTGTGTATCTACTATAGGTTTTGCTTTGTGGTTACCTTAAGGCTTACACAAAACATTTTGTAGTTATGATAATATACTTTAAGCTAATTAACAACTTCAATCGTATGCAAAAATTCTACCTTTTTATTCTTTTTTATGTTTCTGATGTCACAGTTTACATCTTTTTACATTGTGTATACAGTAGTAAGTTGTTATAGCTATAGCTATTTTTCATATTTCTTTCGTCTGTATACTAGAGTTAAGCAATTCGCATGCCACTGTTATAGTATTGGAGTATTCTGAAATTGACATATACTTATTTTTACTGATTTGTTTTTCCAAATACTTTCATGTTATTAATTAAAGTCTTCATTTCAGCTTGAAAAGCTCCTTTCAGCATATCTTGTAAGGCAGGTTTGGTGGTGATAAACTCTCTCACCTCCTTTTGTCTGGGAAACACTTTCTCTCTCTTTCAATTTAGAAGGAAAACTTTGCTGACAAAGCTCGCAGGGTCCTCCACAAAGCAGGCCACTGGGAATTGTGATCACTTTCTCTGTAGGACTGTATTAGTAGCCTTTGCCCTTCTCCTTGTTTGAAGCCATTTCCACAATTCTTGCCTTTGCCTGCCTCTGAGTAAGGTGAAACCAAGCAGGTCTTTTATGCAGTTCCCTTTTTGAGTGGGGAAGCTATTCTACCGTATTCTCCCTTCTCCAGTGAGCGCAACTATTTCAAGCTGGAGTGTTCCCTCTTGGTGCTTAACAGTGTTGGCCTGGTGGATGGGATGATGCAGTCAAAATGAAGCTGTCTTCCTTCCCTTTTTGTGAGGTTATTGATGGGCTTTTTGTTCCATTGTGTTGCAGAAGTTTGTTGAAATCCATTCAAAATCCTGAGCTCTCTCAGAACTATTTTTGTTTGTTCATAGCCATGTAACTATTGAACTTTGTTGCAGGATGGAGGCTAGAGTCTCCTATTCCATTGTTTTGGTAATGTCACTGAACAGCCTCTCAGTGTTTGCTTTTAATAGCTAAATGCTATTTTGAATACCTTCTTTAGCTAGTTAACCCAACTAAAGTACCAGAGAAAATATTTAAATAAACTCTACTGTGGGTTTTGGTTTAATACTTGAGTTATAGTTGCTTTTGCAAGGACAATAGTTTTACAACACAGTTTTATGCATTATTTTGCTTATTAAAAAATTACATTAAAAATTTATATTAACTGCTCACTGAAATTTTTGTTTTCTTTTTAAAAGATAATGCCACATCACAAGCTTTGGTTCTATTTGGTGCCCCTAAGGAGGACATTGAGATTTTTCATGAAAATAAAATGACAAATACTGAAGGTAAGGACTGAATGTGAGTTATATAGTAATCTTTGTAAACCTTATTTACATTTATTTATTAGTTTGTGATGTCCATGTTATATTTTTATTTAGAAATGAATCCTAGGGCAGCCCAGGTGGCTCAGCTGTTTAGTGCCTGCCTTCAGCCCAGGGCGTGATCCCAGGGTCCTGGGATCAAGTCCCATGTTGGGCTCCCCGCATGGAGCCTGCTTCTCCCTCTGCCTGTGTCTCTGCCTTTCTCTCTCTATCTCTCTGTCTCTCATAAATAAATAAAATCTTAAAAAAAAAAGAAATGAATCCTAAATATCACTAATAGTTAACATGGTAATTATATAACATTAAGAATAAAATATCATAATTATTTTATTAACAATATACTGTTATTAAATTATAAAAATTGTTTATAATTTCAGAAATGTTGAATTTTTAAAGTAAATATATATATTATTTTTTACAAGGTTTTTTTTTAATTTTTTAAAATTTATTAATGAGAGACAGAGAGCGTAGAAGAGAGACAGGCAGAGGGAGAAGCAGGCTCCATGCAGGGAGCCTGATGTGGGAGTCGATCCCAGGTCTCCAGGATCAGGCCCTGGGCTTAAGGCGGTGCTAAACCGCTGAGCCACCTGGGCTGCCCAAATATATTTTTTTTATTAGTTATGCCAAGAGTAGCAGGTCTAGATTCTTTCTAGTTCTTTGGGGATATGTTTCTTAGAAGAAAAAGAAGCAGGGCTATGTTTTCATGGTATAAAATCTAGCGTTAAGAATCCATAAAATATTAGCCCTTGAAAGTGTTTCTAATATTGTATGTAGAAAGAGGTAGAAAGAGATGATAGCATGCATACATTTCATGTATAGGGGTTCATGCATATTTTCAGCTTATTTTGGTGGAGAACTCTATATTAATCAAAAAATTCTAATCTTGATTTCAAAAAACTTCTGCTCTGGAGATTTTCAACTTGACAGGATAAAATTGGAATAAGGTGCCATTCTGATTCTTTATTTCTCTCCAGTAGAAATGTTAATTAGAATTTTAATCTTCTGGCTTAGGGTTTATTGCCATAGTTTGGGACACACTTTTTAAAATATCAAATGATTGGTTTATGAAACAGACACAGAAATACACATGTGTTAGTAGGATATAGAGTTATTTAAGAATGATCCTTATATGGAATGTATAATCTTGCAAGCCAGGTAAAATATAACTATAAGCCAATTAGTACAACACAACAGAAAAGAATGGTTATAGAGAGTAATAGCAGAGATGGCACAAGGTAATTAAAAGGTTCAGTACCAAAAAAAAAAAAAAAAAGGTTCAGTACCTAATTCCAGTGTGTGAGCTTGGAGTTTCCCCACTGCCAAACAATTCTTGAACACCATCTAGGTCCTATAATTCATCTCAGTTCTGATACTGTCTACTTACCTGGAGGTAGAGTCAGAATTCACAAGGTAAGAGCTTAGTAATACTGTAAGGCTGCCCCTTCCCCCATTGCAGAGGTCAATCCAAAACCCAGGTTGTCAACTGTGCTTCTGACCAAATACTATAGATTAGAGGTTCCAATGAACCCCTTCTCCTTGGATTTACTAGAATGGCTCACAGAACTCAGAAAAGCATTTTTACTTACTGGGTTACTGGTTTATTATAAAAGGAACAGCTTGATGAAGAGATGTATAGAGCAAAGTAGGTGCAGATCTTCCATGCTCTCTTTGAATTTGTATTCTCCCCGAATCTTCATGTATTCCCTAACCTGGAAGCTTTTCTTTTGGATTTTTATGGACACTTTTTCACATAGATATGGTTGATTACGTTATTGGACACTGTCAACTGATTCAGCCTCCTGGCCCTCTCCCTTCCCTGGAGGTTTGGAATGGAACTAAAATTTCCAATTCTCCAATCATGTTCCGACTTTCCAATCATATTTCCTACTATTCTTTTGCTTGTCTTTTCATTTATTATAATATCTTTTTGAGGAGTTGAATGTTTTGTTTTTGTTGAAGTCTAACTTATTATTTTTTTCTCTAATGTTTCTCCCTCTCTTCCTTCATTCCTTCTTCCCTTTCTTCCTTCCTGTCTTCCTACATGCCTGCTTGCACTTTAAAGATATTTTTCTATTATATCCTTGCCTGCATTTTTTTTTTCTGATGAGAAATGTAACAGGTATCCATATCTATGTTCCCTTTATGTCATGTTCCTTTTGTTCTCTGGTTACTCTAAAGAATTCCTTTTAATTTTTTTTTTTTTTTTTTTTGTATTTCAACTGTGATACTCCCAGATATAGTTAGTTCTCTTGATATTTTAATTGTTTGGGATATACTGAGCTTACATGTGTTACTAAGTGTTTTTTTTTTTTTTTACCAAATTATGAAATAATGTGGCCATTATTTCTACAAATACTTTTCACTCCAAACTTCTTTTTTTCAAGAACCTTAACCTTACACATGTTAGATTATTTGATTTTTGTCTCACAGCTTTTTGAGGATCTGTCTTTTTTTCTTCATTTTTCTTTCTGTTCTTCAGATTGGATGATTTCTGTCAATTCATCTATACATTCACTGAGTCTTTACCAATATATCTTTTAATTTAAAATTTCATACCTTGCAGTTCTAGAATTTCCAGTTGGTTCTTTTTCATAGTTTTCATTAAAAAATTTTTTAATTTAATTTGCCAACATATAACACCCAGTGCTCATCCCATCAAGTGTCCTCCTTAGTGCCCTTCACCCAGTCAACCCATCCCCCCATGCTCCCCTTCTGCAACACTTTGTTTCCCAGAGTCTGTCATTGGTTTGTCTTCTTCTCTAAGTTTTCCCCACTCAGTTTTCCTCCTTTCCCTTATAGATCCTTTCACTATTTCTTATATTCCATATATGAGTGAACCATATGATAATTGTCTTTCTCCAATTGACTTATTTCACTCAACATAATACTCTCCAGTTCTATCCACATTGAAGCAAATGGTGAATATTCGTCATTTCTGATGGCTGAGTAATATTCCATTGTGTATATATATATATATATATATATATATATATATTCTTTATCCATTCATCTGTCGAAGGACATCGAGGCTCCTTCTGCAGTTCGGCTATTGTGGACATTGCTGCTATGAACATTGGACGTTTCACTATATCAGTATCTTTGGGGTAAATACCCAGTAGTGCAATTGCTGGGTCATAGGGTAAATCTATTTTTAACTTCTTGAGGAACCTCCACACTGTTTTCCAGAGTGGCTGTACCAGTTTGCATTCCCACCAATAGTGCAAGAGGGCTCCCCTTTCTCCACATCCTCTCCAACATTTGTTGTTTCCCGACTTGCTAATTTTAGCCATTCTCACTGGTGTGAAGTAGTATCTCATTTTGGTTTTGATTTGTATTTCCCTGATGGCAAATGATGTGGAGCATTTTTCCATATGCTTGTTGGCCATGTGTAGGTCTTCTTTGGAGAAATGTCTTTTCATGTCTTCTGCCCATTTCATAACTGGATTGTCTATTTCTTGGGTGTTGAATTTGCTAAGTTCTTTATAGATCTTGGATACTAGCCCTTCATCTGATATGTCATTTGTCAATATCTTCTCCCATTCTGTAGGTTGTCTTTTAGTTTTGTTGATTGTTTCCTTCAAAACTGTACAGAAACTTTTTATCTTGATGAAGTCCTAGTAGTTCATTTTTGCTTTTGTTTCCCTTGCCTTCATTCATAGATGTGTCTTGCAAGAAGTTGCTGTGGCCAAGTTCGAAAAGATTGTTGCTTATGTTCTCCTCTAGGATTTTGATGGATTCTTGTCTCACATTTAGATCTTTCAACCATTTTGAGTTTATCTTTATGTATGGTGTAAGAGAATGATCCAGTTTCATTCTTCTGCATGTGGCTTTCCAAATTTCCCAGCACCACTTATTGAAGAGACTGTCCTTTCTCTAGTGGATGTTCTTTCTGCTTTGTCAAAGACGAATTGACCATAGAGTTAAGGATCTCTTTCTGGGTTCTCTGCTTTGTTCCATTGGTCTATATGTCTGTTTTTGTGCCAGGACCACACTGTCTTTATGAGCTGACTTTAAGCTTTGTAATACAGCTTGAAGTCAGGGATTGTGATGCCCTCAGCTTTGGTTTTCATTTTCAGTATTCCTCTGGCTATTTGGGGTCTTTGACTGGTTTGGGGATCAAGGTATTGCTGGCCTCAACAAATTTGGAGGTATTCCCTCCATTTCTATCCTTTGAAACAGCTTTAGTAGAATAGGTATTCTTTAAATGTTTGGTAGAATTACTCTGGGAAGCCATCTGGCCCTGAAATTTTGTGTCTTGAAGGGTTTTTGATGACTGCTTCCACTTCCTCTCTGATTATTGGCCTGTTTTGAGTTTTTTCTTTCTTCCTGTTTCAGTTTTGATAATTTGTAGGTTTCCAGAAATGCATCCATTTCTTCCAGATTGGCTAATTTGTTGGCATATAGTTGTTCATAATACATTTTAAAAAATCAGTTGCAGTTCCTTGATATTGGTTGTGATCTCTCCTCTTTCGTTCATGATTTTATTAATTTGAGTCTTTTTTTTCTTTTTAATAAGACTGGCTAGGGGTTTAATCATCTTATTAATTCTTTCAAAGGACCAGCTCCTGGTTTCGTTAATCTGTTCTACAGTTCTTCTGGTCTCTATTTCATTGAGTTCTGCTCTAATCTTCATTATCTCTCTTCTTCTGGTTGGTTTAGGCTTTATTTGCTGTTCTTTGTCCAGTTCCTTTAGGTGCAAGGTTAGCTTGTGTATTTGAATTTTTTCCAGTTTCCTGAGGGAGACTTGTACTGTGATGTATTTCCTTCCTGGGACCACTTTTACTATATCTTAAAGATTTTGAACAGTTGTACTTTCACTTTCAATTAGTTTCCATGAATCTTTTTAATTCTTCTCTAATTTCCTGGTTGACCCATTCATTTTTTAGTAGGATGCTCTTTAAGTGTTTGAGTTTCTTCCATATTTCTTCTTGTGATTGAGTTCTAGTTTCAAAGCATTGTGGTCTGAAAATATGCAGGGGATAATCCCAGTCTTTTGGTATCCATTGAGATCTGATTTGTGACCCAGTATATAGTCTATTCTGGAGAAAGTTCCATCTACACTTGAGAAGAATGTGTGTATTATTCAGTTGAATTAGGATGGAATATTCTGTAAATATCTGTGAAATCCATTTGGTCCAACGTATCATTCAAGGCTCTTGTTTCTTTGGTGACATGTTGCTTAGAATATCTGTCTTTTGGGGATCCCTGGGTGGCTCAGCAGTTTAGTGCCTGCCTTTGGCCCAGGGCATGATCCTAGAGTCCCGGGATCAAGTCCCACGTCGGGCTCCCAGCATGGAGCCTGCTTCTCCCTCCTCCTGTGTCTCTGCCCCCCCATCAAATAAATAAATAAATAAATAAATAAATAAATAAATAAATAAATAAATCTTTTAAAAAAAAGGAATATCTGTCTTTTGCTGAGAGTGCCATGTTGAAGTCTCCTGCTATTAATATAGTATTATCTATGTATCTCTTTACTTTTGTTATTAATTGATTGATATAGTTGGCTGCTCCCACATTAGGGGCATAAATATTCATAATTGGTAGGTCTTCTTGTTGGATAGACCCTTTGAGTATGGTATTGTGTCCCTCTTCATCTCTTATTATAGTTTTTGATAGAAAATCTAATTTATCTGATAGAAGGATTGCTAGCCTAGTTTTTTTTGAGGATCATTTGAATGGTAAATTGTTCTCCAGCTCCTCATTTTCAGTCTGGAGGTGTCCTTAGTTCTAAAATTAGTCTCTTGTAGATAGCACATAGGTGGTCTTGCCGTAGTTTTCATTTTTATATTAATACTCCTTATATGTTCACTTATTAAGACCATATTTTCCTTTAATTATGTGAACATATGTTGTTTTCCTTAACTTTTTGAGCATGTTTATAATAACTACTTTAAAATCTTTGCTATATCAATGTCTGGGTCAACTTGGTTTCAGTTTCTACTGATTTTTTTTCTAGACTTTTAAAACACACTTAACACACTTTCCTGTTTCTTTGTATGATTTATTTTATTATTTTTTTCTTTGTATGATTTAATACTGGATATTTGTATAGTACATTGTGAAGATTCTGGATTCTGCTATCTTTCTCTGAAGAGAATTGATTATTTTTCTAGCAGGCAGTTCAGTCTGTCATTTGATGAACTTAAAAGTGGTATATGCTTGGTTTTATGCAAAAGTACAGATATAAATATAATAATTGGGGTGATGCACATAAAGTAACCACATATTAGAAGGAAGGATGGGCTGGTGAATAAATTACATAAATATCACATTCACTGGGCAAGGAGAGTTGGCAGTTTATGAACATAGTTTTTTATTTCATTTGTCCACACGATCAGCAGTTATTTTTCTTCACATGGAAGTTTCATGTTGCAGAGCCTCAACAAAACTCAACTGTAGCTTACATCCAGGAAGATCTTACCTCTTAGGCACTGATTCTGAGCAGGGAAGTTAAAGTTGGGCAGATGTTTAAAGAGGATGAAAGTCTTGTCTGAGATTAAGTCTTTAAAGACAGCCTGGGGTTAAGGGTCCAACTCTTGTTTTTAACTTAGGTGCTGATCTCAGGGTCCTGGGATCAGAGGCCTACTTCTCTCTCTGCTTGAGGATTCTCTCTCCTCTGCGCCTGGCTCCCGCTCTCCCCCTTCCTCTCAAATAAGTAAATAAATCTTAAAAATAATAATAAAAATAAAGACTCACCCTGACCATTTGTGCACAGGCTTCATGGAGAGGATTTCTATCAATATGTTTGACTGAAATCATTATTGTATCATGGAATTTTACAAAAAAATGATATTTTAACATCCCACCATTCATTTATTAAATGAGAAATCTGAGGTTAGAGACTGAGTCATTTTAACTTAAGCATAGTTAGTTAACACTCCAGTCAAAAAATGGATGAATGTGGACATCTAGTTTAGTAATCTAGAGCGTCTCTTTAAACTGAGTGAAATTAAAAAGAAACAGAAAGGAAAGTTTTAACTTATACTATGCCTATATTAGAATAAAAACAGTGATAATAACTCCTGAGTTCTGTTTCTGTGTTGTGCTACTTATGATGTCATGTCTTTACAGACTTTAGTGCCAATTTTAACTTCATAGTATTTCATTTTCTCCACTTTATCATATGTAAAATGTTAATCCTAAACCATGGGGTGCTATGGAGATTAATTAGCATTCGCATAATAGGGTTGAGAGTAGCACATGTGGGAAAAATGTTAAATGAGTCCTTACTATCCTTGTTTTCTCCACATTTAATGAAGCAAAACAAATGTTTTGAGTATAAGGACAACTGCCTGGTTGTTAAATGTGTATTAAAACTTTCTTATTTCTAAAAAAACAAAAAACAAAAAACTTTCTTATTTCTAGAGGGAAGGGCAGCATGCCCTTATCAAGATAATTGGATAGGAGATCAATATGTAATTTTCATCAGCTTGTTCTTTAGTCCTATGACTAAAGTGGAGGTGAAAATACATATCTATGTATGAACTAAAGAGGAAAGATGGAATATAATACAAAATGTTCATAGCAAGTATGTGTGTTTAGTATAGTCAAAGCAAACCAAGATACATTAGAACATCAGGACTGATATCTTAAAGAAACAGTCAAAATTCAAAAACAAGTGAAAATGTGAAGCATTTGAGATGCCTTGAAATATATTTTTAGGACTGCCTGTCTTTATTTTGCCATCTTTTTAAAAATACGAAAACAACCTTCAAAGTATACTCCAAAGCCAAAGTATACTCCAAAGTATACTCCAAAGCCAAAGTATACTTCAAAGATACAATTTCAGTCTCAGCTCTCCACCTACCAGATCTGTGGAAATGGACACATTATATAACTTCTCTAAGCCTTTGTTTCCTCATCTATGAGAAATCAAGATATAATTCCATTTCATAAAATTGTGAAGATTAAATAAAATGTGGAATCAAAAGTACTTAGCACAGTTCCATGACTGGAACATATTTTTAGTTCTCAGAAAATGTTAAAAAAATATATATGTATATGTAATATATGGGGTAGGGTAAACACTTTAGTTTATAAGTGAAGGAGATAAGCTATTTTCACAGATTGTGTTTTTGGAGGGGGGTATCATGAGACCTTATTTAAAATATATTTTAAAAATTGCTGTTCAAATGAAGACATTTACGTCTCTTGGTTGGCACTGAAATAAAAAGCACAGTCTGGAGGCAACAGCATAACTTCTATGTTCTTCAAGGTCAGCTGAAATGAGGACATCACATTGTTTTCACTGAGGCACCAAACCTATTTTGTGTCTTGCATTTAAGATCAGTGATTGCAGCTATAATCCAGCCCAATAGAGTCCTTAGAGGCAAAAGGACTGCAAGTAAGCACTTTGGTGGAGTTTCATGGACAACTTTGCTTGCTTCTGCAACCTTCAGTTGATTCGGGACATGCCAGGATTAGAATCACTGAGGCACATCGGACTGAGTGGATTTTATGATGAGTACAACTTGAATGCTATAGTAGGAACATCAATCACTCTTTGCATGAGACTCCAATTTTCAGAAATGGAAGGTAGAAAATGAGGTTATTATAAGGATGAAGGGGACCTGCTTTTATTATTATTATTTTTTTTCAGCAAGAGAAACTCATGCTGGATTTAAAGAAGAACTTCAGTGCATGAGTGGTTGGATATTATTTACACTGGAAGGTGTGGACTCTCTTTGAAGGGAAAACTTAAAATATATTTCAAAGTCACTTTTTAAGTGATTCAAGAACTATTTAGAAACAATTGGATTAACTGGTTTTCTGTCTTTTTTCTTTAGTTCTTTTTTTTCAATGATTACTTCATGATATTATGGAACACTTCATATAATTATATAATTTTAATATCATTCTATTACTTTCTGAAATATTTATCAATTTATTAACAAAATTTAAAAAGTATTAGTATTAATAAAGCAGAATAGTTTTTGCATATTCTGAACATCACAGTTTACTATTTTATATGTACCTGTTAACTAATTCCTGTCTGTTTTATTTTTAAGGGGTGAATAAAGGAATTTACTTTAGCTACCCAAGTCGACGTCAAAGCTGTACTTTAGTAAACATCCCAGCACCATGTGTCAACAAAATGATTTCACACATTGAAGATTTGGAATCTAAAATACAAGAACATTTGAAATGGGTAAGATCTAAAATGCTAACCTTTTTGCAAGTTCTATAGAGCCTATAAGGGCTGTTACTTAAAGAATTCAGGTAGTTATTTTTTTAATGATACTTGGACTATTTTATAGAATCTTTGCTCAGTTGTGTAATTTACTAATCTAGACATGTTTTTGTTATTCTCACTTCAGAAAGGTGAAATGACCTTACTAAATAGATTTTTCCCCTACCTGTTTGTTCCTTATCCAGAGGCAATCATGCTAAGTAGTAATTTCCATAAGCCAACTTGACTAGCAAATTAAATAGTATTTACATCGTTTTTAGGGAGACTAAACTGATTAGATGATTAAATGAGTAAATTGGTGTGTAAAAGGACAGCGTGCCCTTTTTAATGAGTTATTTTGTTCTAAAGAAATAATAGGTCTGTTGAAAGAGAATGTAATGATTCTGTCTTTTCAACCTGTTTGATTTTATTATTCTTATGGGAGTTCAATCTTGAAATCAATGTAACTTTCAGTTATTTTCAGAAGATGATGCAGTAATGATAAATAACTTCTAATACCTTTTATTAAGATTATTCTGAGCCATTAGTACACAATTATATTGCCCAAACAGGAGGATAAATCTGTCTATGCTATTTCTCTTCCCTCATCACCATTATTGAATCTGGCTCTGAGAAAGTTCTGAAGGGGCAGTCATGATACTTGATGTAGGGTGATGTTTCCTTCAAGAGGCATTAGAGTGCAGTCCTTAAAATTGCAACCTTTAGAGCAAATGTTCTATGACCTTAGATAAAAACGGACATAATGATATTGTGGATACAGTGCTAGCATATGATATGCACTCAATATTTATTAGTTATTGTTATTTCTGTAATATTGTTTATATCATTTTATAGTAGTTTTATAGTTATTTATATTTATTCTATTTATCTTTGTTTCTTCTTTGGTTCTCCAAACTTTTCAGAAAATGCTTTGTGAGTCATAAGTCTTACAGTATCCTCGGCCTTGAGAAATATTGTTAAGTAGATAGAAGATAATTAATCTTTATTGATTTGATATGCTGTATACTTCACATGTGTTTTAATTAATGATTAGGCATATTTTGTAAGTATTGAAAATAGATTTATAGGTGTTTTAGTAAATAATTCCAATAGCTATGATTGTAATAGCTATACTATAGTAGCTATTTTAACAACTGTAATAGCTCAAAACTATTTTTTAAAAAATATTTTATTTATTTATTCATGAGAGACACAGAGAAAAAGGCAGAGACATAGGTGGAGGGAGAAGTAGGTTCCCTGTGGGGAGCTTGATGTGGAAGTTGATCCCAGGACCCTGGGATCACGCCCTGAGCAGAAGGCAGATGTTCAACCATTGAGCCACCCAGGTGCCCCTCAAAACTATTTTTAAATGGTTATTCTTATATCTAATTGATAGTTGGGGACATAACAAATAGTTGAGAGACTTTTCAAGATCATAAGATAGAATTGGGATTTGAACCCACCATCTGTTATCAAAACCCTTTTTTTTTTTTTTACCCAGTCCCAATTAGGATTCTGAACAATCGATAAACTGTTAAACACAATGGATAATGGGCCAGCTGAAAGATTACCTTTGATAAAATAATTCACAAAGTTTACAAGATATTCTATAGCTTTTCTTCAGAAAAACTGAAAAAAAAAGAGCTTTTCTTATGTAAATATGTTATGAAAATGAGCCAGCTGAATAAATAAAGAAGCCTTATGAAGGCCAGCACCAGAGTGACTTGCTTAGTGTTGTCTTCTGGCATTTAGCTTAGAGCCTAGCCTGATACATAGTAGATGCTCAATAAATATCTGTTGAATGGAAAAATAAATGAGGACCTGAAGCAGAACCTTTCTTTTCTAGATACATCTGAGATACCTATCCACCCAATAGAGAAAGAGCTACCACTTACCAAACATCTGCCATTTTCTAGGGGCACTTGGGTGATATAGTCAGTTAAACATCTGACTTGGTTTTGCCTCAGGCCATGTTGGGCTCTGAGCTCAGCACAGTGTCTGCTTGAGATTCTCTCTCTCCTTCTACCTCTGCCCTTACCCACTGTGCATGCTCTCTTTCAAATAAATAAATAAATCTTAAAAAAAGGAAAAAAAAAGTATTTTCTATGTGCTTACCAAATATATATTTCTGTATTTGTACTTTACAGGAATCCAACTTTATAGGTGAAAATCCTAACAGGAAAGTCAAGTAATTCATGTATCATCACACAGGTAGTAAGAATTAGAGATGGAATTTGAGTCAAGTTCCTTCTGACTCTAAAGCCCCTTTCAGTTTCTTTTTTATAATCCCTAAGGGCAAAAGAAGGCCTTAATTCTCATTGATGTGGAATGTTAGTATTTTGACAACATGAAATATCCAAATAACAATGTAAGATAAATATACTTCTAGACTAAAACTGTATAATGAGAATAATGTGTTTACAAGTAAATATACAAATAAACTATTTGAAAGATTAGTTATGAAAATAATGCTCATAACCACTTTTTTAAAAAATCAGGACTTATTTTAGGCTTTTTCTGTTTTCTAAATTTAAAAAAAATGATATTTTGCTTTGACTACATATTTAGTAGTTAGACTTGCTAGTGTTGAACTGATAAGACTATATTTCTAGAGTATATTTTACACTAAATTTTTTGTATAGGTCATCACAACTATTGACTAGGCATTTACTATATTTGAATTATTATTTTGGGAATGAAATGGTAGCTACCTATCTTCTTTAAAATGATTAATTTTTCTTTCTGAATAAACTCATACATAAAAAGAAATTTCCAATACTACTTGGAAAAATGAACTTTTGGTAGTAGTAGACAACTTTATATTCATTGTCTTTACTGAAAAATTTAAAGAAAATTAAGAAATTGCACTTAAAGGAAATTTTAAAAATAGAGCCTGTGATTTTTTGATAAACAAAAGCTAATAGGATCTGTTATTTCCAAAAAGGTAAATTCATGTGGTTTTTGTGGAAAGATGATGTATTATATTTTCCTGTAGATCATAATTCAGAATTAGTTAAATCTAAGCATAAAATCTAGTTTTAAAGAGTGGGTTACTTGTGTCAGAAGTATATAAACTTTACAATTATCCTGAGAAAATATCAAATTTTTATAAATGTGCATCTGGATTCATTTTGATAATTCTAGAATACCTGAAACAATGCTGAAAAAGGACATTTCTTCTCAACATTTTTACCATTGAAAAGCATTTTATCCAATGAAAGTTATCAGCTGATTGTACCTTTGAGAGGAGTTTCACATTTTTCAATTTTATTCATTCATTGTCTATAGTCCTAGGCATTGTCTTTGCCTGTTGGGTTTTTCTTGGGGACTGCAAGAGGTGCATTTATGATGGGATTGATGTGAAGTCAAACAGAGAAAGAAAGTGATGTCCTCTGTAGGCCCACAGTTTTTATTTTTTTAATTGCAGTTTTTTCACTTTTGTCTAAGTTGTCAATTATGTTTTTCTATAAACTGGCTTGATTTTTAAAACAGCTTTATTGATATAACTTACATACAATAAAGTTTGTCATTTACAGTGTACAATTCAGTGGTTTTTAGTGTATTTACAGAGTTGTGTAATCATTACCATAATCACAAAAGACCATATATTGTATGATCCTATTAATGTGAAATGTCCAATATAGGCCAGTCTGTAGAGACAGTAGATTAGTGTCCTAGGGCTGGGGGCTACTATTGATGGTTGTGAGGTTTCTTTTGGGGATGATGCTTGTTTGTTTTTAGTCAGGATCATCTTAATATTTTATTAGATAAAGCTCTGTAAGTAATTGTAAAGCTGTCATCTACCTTGGTATGGACTGCATTAAATGAGTGAAAGATCAATCTTTTTGGATCAACCATTATGGTTTGTTTGCCAGTTAAATCACGGTGGTTTCCATATTTATAGTCAGAATGAATACTGTAAAGCCTGTGATTAGCAGAGATGAATCTACCATCAGCTTTCCATGCATTTATAGCAGTTTAATTGCAATTTTAAATTTTGAAAAGAAAACTCTCCAAAGTAGAGTTACTATGAACACTTTCTGTATCTTTTTGCAAAGAACGAGAAAATATGGAAGTATAATGGAAATAATTACCTTCATATATCCCCATTACAAGTAAAAGATTTTGTTTTATTTTTCTTCTACCTGTTTTTTCTAGACTGCCTGTAGATGACTTTAATTTGAAGTGATCTCTACTGCATTGAAAATTCTTTCTTCATTTAATCAATACAAATCATTAAAATGTTACCATGATTTGAAAGAATTACATAGAAAGTATTTAGAAATCATTCTTTAAAATATAAATAATTTATTATACAAAATAACAATATTTTATCAATAATAGTGATAAAGCTAATGTTGATTAGGTACCTACTCTATATTCTAGGCTGTATTAAATAATTAATGTATATGATTTCATTGAAACCTCATGGAAACCTTGTGAATTAGAAACTGCCATTATCCCAAGTTACAGATGAGGAAACTTATTCCAGAGGTTGACTTCTCCCAACATTACATAGTCACTGGCAAAGCTAGCATCCAGACAGGTGTCTGAGATCTTAGAACATCCTATTTTCCACCATGCTGTATCATCGATTCCTGAGAGTATGTGAACTATGAGGACCAAAAAGATGATTGTTAAAATACTTGTAATTCCAGTTGTAAACTTTTTGCTGTGCTTAAACCATTTTATATTTGTTTTCAATTCTGAAAAGTAACATTTAATCATCTGACTCTACTGATACTTGAGTTCTCTAATTCTGTTAATTCTATTGTATTTCATTTGAAACTTAAGGACACTTCAAATCCTGGAATATCCATTGTTTTCCTTCCTAGCATCTCCATTTTCTTTTACTTCCTTGACAAATGGATTTGTCTCTTAAAACACTAATTGGTATATCTGTTTTTCTTACTTTTTTATCCTACTATCCTTCTAGTCTGACATCTCTGATGAGCTCTCTCTGATGGTTTGCCGTCTCT